CGGGCCCCCGTCGGCGCTCTTCACCCGCGTAGCCGATGGCGGCCGGCACTTCCGCGGGAGCCGGAGCGGTCGGCATGGAATCGATAACTCGTCTTAACGGATGCTATTGATTTACCATTCGCACTTTTCTTCCCTGTCCTGTAAACTTCGGATGGGTGCTGTAGGTTATGTTTTTAAAGGGGTAGAAGGCAGAATATTGTAGGATAAAGCTCAGAGCTGCAGTCTGGCTCAGGCGGCGTTTGACGTGTGTCAGACACCGCTTGGACGGCCGCTCGTGGCCAACCAGCCCTGCCGAGCCGCTGGCTGTGTCCTCCGGGTGCCCAGAAGACATCTCAACCACTTTCACATTCCCCACTGCTGAAGTCTGTAAACGATCGCTTACTCCTTACACCCCGGTATATTTTTAATGCTTGTATGTATGGCTTTGTACGTGCTGCTCACGCGTTTCCCTCTGACGTGCCTCGAGTTCGCGTTTCCTCGGCGCGTACTCTCCAGAAAGCTGATGCTGCCTTTGTTTGCGACTTTACGCCTCTCGAGGCAGCGGTTGGGCTAGAACTCTCTTAGCACAAGAATTTGTTAGCATATAGTGGAACCCAGTGAAGTTTCCTCAGGAATTTGCATCTTACATTATTCCTGCTTGCGTGCCTTCAACAGCAGAGGCTGGGGAGGGGCGTTCATGGAGCCCTTCTCATGGCACCCTCCCAGCAGCGTTCCCGGGGGCAGAACCCTACGGGCGGGGGCTGTTTCTCTCCTGGGATGCTCGCCGAGGCATGCAGAGTTGGAAATAATAATTTGCTAAATGGAGAACTGCCCAAGGCTCAGCATCCTGCCTGTACCTCCTTGTCTGGAGGTTTGCTGGGCTCGAGTCGGTACGGTGGGTAGCTTAACGTCATGGAACTGCGCAATATCATAAACGAGAGTAATATAGAAATGAAACTGGAGCCCAGGAGATGGCTTGGGAGATCTTTCTGAATACAAAGGAGGAGATTTTTCATGCTTGCCTGAAGAAGTTAAATCTTTTTCTAGAGTGTATTCATATTTAGTTGCTTGACCTGAGTGACTAAAATGCCAGTATTCATTAAAAAAAAAAAGAAAATATGAAATATTAAATAGAATTAAAATAGACTTACAGTCTTCTAATGAAAATTAGATTAAACGAATGCATTCTAAAACAAACTAGAACTGAGTAAATGTCTCCTGGGCTTACGGTTTTGTGTGATGAATTCATACTGTGCCAAAAAATTGCAGTGTCAGGGGTACTAAAAGTGTTTGTGAATAGCAAACTGTTCTGAAGAAAAGATGGGAAAGGTCTTTAACCATCATTTCAATATCTCTATGGAAAAATGTATTTTTCATTTGCAAATTAACCTAAATTTAAAAGAAGTGAAATGGAAGGTTAAATAAATAATCCACAAGGTAACATGAAATACCGTATTTTAAGTTGAAAAAAAAGGTGTTCTCATTTTTTGAGGTTTGAAAAAATAATGTTGATTTTTCTGTCAACATAAACCGGTTGTGCTTGCTTACTGTGTTCTCTTCAGCTGCCAAAGCCAAGGACCCCCTGATTTGTCACCACAACTTTTAGTTTGTACCTTAAGACGTGAGACAGCATGGGGCAGTCGGGGCTGTCAGATAACTGGGATCTGAGAAGGTTCTTGAAGGAGGAAAGTGTTGGGGGGTCTGTTGGGGAGAACTGGCGGGGAGGAGGAGGGTGGTGACACGCGGCGCTGGGAAGCTGGGGGGTCCGAGCCCCATCCCTCGGGCGGGATGTTCCCAGGCACTGAGCCGTGGCTGCCTCCTGTCCCCCCGCAGGCATTTCCCGGCTGGATGATCAGATCTTCCTCAACAGGAACCCGGGCGTCCCCTCCGTGGTGAAGTTCCACCCGTTCACGCCCTGCATCGCGGTAGCCGACAAAGACAGCATCTGGTAAGGGTTTCTGCGGGTCTCCGCAGCGCTCGCTGCCCGGCCGCCGCGCAGCACGTGCCGGCGGGTTCAGAGCGGCGTGTCAAAGAGCACGCGTGGATTATCGCGGGGTAGCGCCGCCGTACGTTGTTCCTTTTCTTTTCCCCGCTCCCCTCCGTGGCCATCCTTCCCTCTTTCGGGACAGGGAGGCAGGGCAGAGTCCTCCCGGAGCTCAGGGCCGTAGCCGAAAGCCTTGCACCACGCGCTTTGCTGCGGGCGGCGCTGGGTTAGAGGGCTGCAGCTGAATCCTGACATACATAATAGTTACTTACGGTTGGGCTTTTATCCTACTCCTTTTGCAGAAGGTTGACGTGCATTATTAATAAAATGATGCTGAATACCGAAGGAGAAAAACAAATTGAATTGGTATCTGCTGTATATAATTTTTAGTTTTGCTGGAACGAGTAGATCTCTCTTACAGCTTGCACAGAGAACCACGAACTGATGCGATGTTTTTTCCTCCCCCAGTTTCTGGGACTGGGAGAAAGGGGAAAAGTTGGACTATTTCCACAATGGGAACCCTCGATACACCAGGATCACAGCGATGGAGTACCTGAATGGACAGGACTGCTCCTTGCTGCTGACTGCTACAGGTGAATAACATATTTTCCCACATATGAGGGCAGGACTGGGAGGCCTTTCCCAGTGAGCTGTTCCGGTCCTCTTGCTCTCCCCCCTGTGAATTTGGCCCAGCCTGAGCTTTCCTTACCCTGCGGCTTGCCTCAGCTGACGAGGCATTTCCAGGATCAAACCTGAAAGTTGTTTCTGGCAGCACTGAAATATCTTAACTGCTGAAGTGCATGCTGCAAAGGTTTTCAAATTACTAACAAGTCAAACACTTGCTGAAACTATTTCCAATCCCAGCTTTGTTACATCATTCTGAGTCTTTACCTATCATTGCAAATTCATGGTAACCTCCTCCTCCTGTATAAGACCGCAGCAATGTGATTTGAGTTGGTTAAAAGCTTCTGTCCAGAGCTGAAAAGGAAATCATGCTGCAACAAGTAGAAGAAACCAAATTCTGTTAGTGTGCTGTTTTAAGTCTAGAGCAGGCAGGGCTTATTTTAAGCACTAAACTTCTCAAATAGTTCCGAGTTTCCCTCTAGTCCATATATCTCACCCAGGGAAACAGTTCTCTGGAATGCTCTGTTGCATCACGTAAGGTAGCCTGGAGAGCTCTCTCCCATCCGTTGGTCTGTAAAGCTTTGAGTAAGATCTGCTTCTCTCGCAAGGAACCATTCTAAACCTGCCAGTCTTAAGTGTTTTCAATAGCTTTTCAAACTTCATGCTGAAATGTACAGGTTGGGTATAGTTAAGAAGAGGGGGAAGGGGAGCTGAGAGGGCCTTGAGGACTTTTTTCTTTCAATTTATTGATTTGGAGCACAAAAGTTGCACAGATAGGGAACAAATTGAAAAAATACACGATGTTCCTGAAAGAGTTGCTGCTGATGGGCTGGGCTTTGACTCAGCTTCTTCTGTGGGATTGTATTTTGTATTTAGTAGGGTACTTTTGTGGCTGTCGGCACCAATAGCAAGGAGGACAGAGATGAATCCAAGAAAAAATGAATGGGTCAGAGAAATGGAGCGACATCTAATGTCAGGTGTTACTCGAAGGAAGGAGAGAGGCTCTTCCAGAACTGTTCCCAGTAGAACAGTGCTTTAGGTTTCATGGTTGTAGGATGAGAGGAAAAACAACTCTTAATAAAAAAGATTAAGTTCAAGTGACAGTCTCAGTTTTAGAGTTTGTGTATGACTGCAGTTCCACTTCTGTTCTTCCTTTGTTGTGCACAAGTAATTATGAGCGTTGCATCAGCAGTGACATTGCATTGTGTTCTCTTTTTTTGTGCTCCCCAAGATGATGGTGCCATCAGAGTGTGGAAGAACTTTGCAGACCTGGAAAAGAACCCAGAGATGGTAACTGCCTGGCAGGGGCTGTCTGACATGCTGCCAACTACACGAGGTGGGTTCCCACTAAGTTTTTTTGGAGGCGGGAGTAAAAATAATTTGTGACTGTAGGTTTTTTTTCTAAGGAAGGGGCAAATAAAATGGGTTTCTCAACTTCAGCCATTGGTAACATCCTTGTTCAACAGTCTCTGCCTTTTGTCAGGCCTTGGTGAGGAATTACTTTTCCAGGTCTCACCAAACAAACCAAGAAAACTGAAAGCCCAACACAAAATCCTCACACACACACTGAAGAACAAGCAGAGCAGCCTCTTGCTGGGGAGCAGAAGGGTACAAAGTCCTTGTCCTTTACAAGCTTCACAGCAGCTGTCTTGCCCAAGCATTCCTCTTAACTGTGTTCCTAAGGAGAGAACTGTAGAACAACGGTGGAACTGGGCACTGCCCTGCTCCGTGCTCACCTTGACAGGAGGTTACTCTTCCCCTTTGGGTGGGATGGTATCTCACGTATTGCCTCTTTCCTTCTGACGGGCTGCTCAGCCTTTGCACAGCTTTGCATGTTGCACCTGTGACCTCCTTTAGCCTGGGCTGAAATTTTGGCAATTATTCTTTGCCGTTTATTGTGGGTCAGGAGGTGGCAAGAAAATATGCAATCTAAATCTGACACGTGCAGAAGGACAGCACAGTTAGACATTGACCTGCTTTGAATGTTAGAAAAGTTGAATAGAAAAAGATGTAAAAAGGAGCACTGGCGTCCAGCCATACACAGGATGAAGCCAGAAGACCAGTTTGAGTAACTGGTTTGGGACATAAAAGGAGGTGGATGTTTCATCCTTCCGAGACCTGGTAATGTACTAATGCTCTAATGGTGATTCTCTGTCACTTAAATATTGTTAATCGAGGCTACAAGATTTTCTAAATGCACGGTAGTTCAATCAGCACTGGTGGGATTGATGCAGGAATTGCTGGGTGACGCTCCCTTGCTTGCGCTGTGCAGGAGGTCAGATGAGATTACCATCATAGCTCATCCTGACCTTAAAATCTGACAGTTCTCATTTCTGAGCTGATGTGGTTCATCACAGGAGCCTGACACAGCTGTTTTAGCTATCCATTGGATTTTACCAGTGCTGCCCCGTTGAGCTCGTATCTGTTATGTTTTGCTTAACGCCTCATGGTTCATCTCTGGTGTTTTAGGAAAGAGGAACTGTATTTGAAGTTTCTTCAGGCTCTGTGCCTCGCTGTGGTATGTGCACAAAACTGATTATAAGCTGCTGGAAGTTTGCAACATACTGTGAAAATTGCCGTGGTCAAAACCTGCTCTTTGCAGAGATGTCGGTAAGAGCAGGAAGAAAACGGTGGTAACGCACTGAGTGGTGAAAGGCCTGGATCTCCTTAGGCAGAGAGGAAAGCGTCCAGTAGTCATCTCCAGTTGCTCTTTGTAGTGTCATTCGGTTGGCCTGTAGTTCGTTCTTGTCAACACCAGCTTTCCTGAAGGATGTTGGTTAATGTTTACCATCCCTGCATTCAGGATCTTGCTTCCTTGGAGCTGGTAATGGACTCTCCCAAAAAACTGGGAATTCCCCCAAACTGCTCTGATCGTTGGTTTCTTGCTACGTGATCAGCCGTGTTCAGAGAAGATGGTGACAACTGTCGACTGAACTCCTTCAGGCTGATTCCATTTTCCTGCCTTACTTTCTACGTGCACCTTATCAAGGCGTAGCATTTGCTGATTGTACCTTACCCTTTTCAGGCCTTTAAAAGGATTGTTAGCATCCATGTTTGACATTGCTAAGTAGGTTAAGAGCTGAAGGAAGAGCTGATTTAGCTGTGAGAGTTGAATGGTTACACTTGCCAAAACAGGAGCGTTGAAACTTTGAGTGTGTTCTTGTTAAGATCTTAGGAAGTCTGGGTCCTGTTTGCTTTGCCTTTTACCTTTGGAGCAATAGAGCTAGGTTCAGAAGAGGAGAAGGACATTTCTTTGTGGAGAGAGAAATAAATGTAGTCACTTCAAAAGAGCTATGTGGATCAAGTCCCCGTGGAACTGAGACTCTCTTCAAGAGTTTATCTTCCCCTGCCAAGACCATGGTTGTAGTCCAGCACTGGTTCATAAAATTGAAGATGCATATTTGAAGCTGCAGAGCTCACGAGTTTTACTGGAGTTTGCTTGCTCCTACTATTGATTTCCTTCTCTCCTCTCCCACTCTTCTCCCACATGTCATACTCGCCTCTGAATTTAATTGTCTTCTTGATGGCACCAGAATACTGACTTTTCTGGACAGTTTTTCCACTTACAAAAGGAGAGAGGAATATGCAATACCTAAACACATCCTTTGGAAGCTTGAAAAGCATCCCCAGGTTGTCAAAGTCGCGGGAGGTCAACAATAACATGCTCAGGGGCTGCCTGAAAGTGGGGAGCAGACCAGAGTGAGGCACAGAACTTAAACTTTTACACTCTGTAAAGGACTTGTGTTGTGCAACCCAAGGTAAGAGAAGTGAGCTGACACGGCCCAGTTAGCGTGTTAAACTCGGCCCCAGTTCATTGCACTTACAGTTCATTTGAGACTCAGGGTAGGTGAGTCTTAATTTAAACACTGGCAAGATACTGTGTGGGCACCCTCTTTTTTTCCGGTATAAGGGCTGTTGATTTTGATCTTCAGATCTGTACTCATGATGCACCAAGAAAGTCTCTTTCAGTCAGAATCAGGGTGTTCAAAGCAGCAGTGGTTCCAGGTGCTCTAGTGTAAGGCAGCGACTGGGAATCCCCAGCGTGAGCGGTGGAGGGGGTTGAGAAAAAGGCAAAATGTGTGTTGTTAATAGCCTGGTGTTTCAAAAGATGTAAGAAAAACTAAGCATTTTCTATTGAGCAGCATAGGAAGAGCATAAACCTGACGTGCTCTGAAGCTGTAATTTCAATGCAGGAGGCTTTGGGAATTCTGGCAGTTTCTATAGAAAGGGTGTTTGAAGGCTGCGGGTTTTGTGAGCTTGCAAAGCAGCACAGAGACCCATCGCCTGGCGTCTGCACAAGAGCTCGGTTTGGAGCCGCTCCGAATTCGCGCTGCCGGGCAGGCTGGGACACGCAGCTCTGGGCCGTCTCTTACGACGAGTGGCCGTGCTTGTGCTTCGGAACAAAACTGCCATGTTTTGCATTGTTTCTTTGTGACAAAGGGAAATGAGCCACCACTCCCCGTGAGAATGGCTCTGCCCTTGAAAGCAGTACAGCTCTGGAATTTGGAAAAATACAGGAGTGTAACTGGCTGCTTCACAATTACCACATGCCGTCTGCTCAGCTCTTCCCTTCCCAGCTCCTTGTGTGCTGTTGTAGGTGCCTGTGTTGTTTTCCCTTCTCCAGTTCAGCAGAGAGAACCAATATACCACTTCTAACGGGATGCCGGGGAGGACTGAAGGGCTCAGCCAGGTCTCTTCCTGAATACCTGGAGTTCCCTGTGCCAGATTTTCCAGGGTTGTCCCAAGGTGCTTCTCACATCCCCATTCGCTGCCCTGCTGCAGTGCTTTCTTATTGCCTAATGGCTAGAAGCTAGTCTGTGTCTGTGGCTAACTTAAGGGCTGTTTAAGCGGAGCACCCAGAAGTTGTTTGCATTCTCTGGGTGCTGGTTAGCTACTCTCTGAAGTATGGGGCAGAGGAGCCCCCGGTGCAGTCGCCCTCACTGTGGGGAGCCCAGACTTTCCATGGCAGAAGCCTCATGTTCCGTGCTTGAGTTATGTGGATTTCTGTCTGTCACTTCCTGATGCAGTTTCCTTCAGAACGGGGACCAGATCATGCAAAGGGTAGTCTCCGTGTTCACGAATAAATGTCAAATCTGTGCTGTTGTCAGCCAGCCAGATACTCAGTTCACACATGACAAGCGCCACCGTTGATGGCTTCGCGGGGAATGCTGTGACTGAACTAGTGCCTGCTCTCTGGATGGGGACATGTGCTGCTCTTGGTGCTTCTGCTTCTCTTTTATGTTCTCTCCTTTAATTTGAGTTGCTTTTTCTAATCCTTTTTTTAAGATTTTTTGCTCTTGGCTGACCACCTTACCCTTAGCGTCAACCCCTTAATCCCTGTCTTCTCACAGGTCTGGCCCGAAGGGTTTCAATCTATCTTGACAGAAGTAAACAGGGAGGTGAGTGCTTTCTTTCCTGTTACCTACGATCAGCTGGGGTGGGCAGGACCTCCTCGTCTGGCTTCGGGTTGGTTGACTGGTTGGTTGGTTGGTTGGCTTTTTTGGCATTGTTTGAATGACCGCTGGGTCCTTGTGGTTCCTGGAAAGCTTTGCTGCTTCTACCTCTCCCATTCCTTGCCTCGTGCCTGTGTCCGTAACAGCTGTGAGGAATGCAGGGAGGGGTCGGTGCTCTCTAGGTAAGCGTAGCCAGCCGCCGGGAAAAGGGCGTCCTCGCGTCACGCTCCCTGAGCTTTCTGCAGTGAGAGAAGGTTTGGGTGGGATGTACGAGTCTCTTTCCAGGAAGATTTCAAAGCATCCCTGGACAAAAGGGTTTGAGTGACAGGTTCCAAATGTGAACGCAGTTAAGCTGATGTGGATTTTACTGGGGTTTATTTGTAATACGCTTCTGCTATAAAGATCATGTGAAAAGGAGAAGCTGATGAATCTTCCCCAGGAGGCTTAGAATAGTAGACTTTCGGCAAGGCTATGCCTAATAAATTTTACAAATTCTGTTCTTTCACATGGAAGGAAGGTAAATGAACTCCCCAGCTTCCATCTGTGGAAGCCAGGACTGTGCAGAGTAATGTCTGCGTTACTCTGGAGCCTGACCCGCTCCTCTGCCACCAAGGTCTTCGGGGGAAACAGATGGCTAATGTGTCAGGGCATCTTTGTGTGTATGCGCGTCCATGGATGTTAACGTCGACGTAGTCATCTCGGGTTATTCATCAATTATTAATATTTGCTGACTGGCAAGAGCCGAATGTGTCTGCAATGATTAATAGGACGAAGATGATTGCATGTGTGATTCAGAGCTCCTTAGCTTGAGGTCTCTGCAAATCTCTCTTACTGTTCAGAGACCGAGCACTGGGACAGAAGTTAGCAAAGCTGATGTGTTGCTGCTCGCTGCCTGGCTCTGCGCTGCACTCAGGAACCCACTGGCAAACGGGAAGGCTAAAATTGGCAAAGCTTGGCTGCAGGGAATTCCTTGCAGGCAGTAAGCCGGACATCGGAACGGTTTAAGGCAATACCAGCCACTCCCTTGCTGCATCAATACTGCTGATGCCAAGCAATCGCACTCTGTCCCAAGCTCACAAATAATCTGTGAATCAATAAAAAGCATTCACCGGCATTTTCCGGCCAGGTGTTCTCCTAATGAAAAATACAGCAAAAGGATTCCTTCTCTCCCACTGAGGAAGTCTTAAAAATGTATGAGATTTAGCTACTTGCTCGACAGAAAAATACATCAGCAATATTTAGATAAAATACACTAGTTTTGTCACTAAAGCACAGAAAATCTGTTCTCATTGCCTAGGCTTCTGTGAGGAATTTTTACCGAAAGAAGGAGGACTACTTCTTCATTCTCACATGGCTGGGTGCTGTTGTATTGCAGATGAGTGGTAAATTAGGGAGAGACCAATGGCTTAACGGTCCAGGTCGTATCAGGCCACTGTGCCAGTCAGCCCGGGAACCCCTGAAGCTCGTGTGAGCACAGAGCAAAGTCTGCAGCCGGGGCGTTCAGCATCGCGAAGGCGGCCGAGCTAGCAGGAGATGCATTAGTGTGACCCTCTGCCCAGGCTGCTTCACCTCCTGCTCCGTCAGGGCTCTCCTGGGGAGCCTCAGCACACCGCTGCGTTACCTCCCGTCAGCATAACTGAATGTGCGATAGGAAGGAGACGGTGTTAACGAGAATATACATCTGACCTGTGTACACCTCTGTCCATCGCTGCCTCGTGGGGATTGTTGGCTCTGATATGAAAACAGCCATAATCTGTCTTACCTTGAGAAAATTTCTACTGATGCCAAGCAAGAAAAAATAAGTACATACTTGCCCGTTCCCTGCTTCCTTCCTGTTCTCCTGGGGCTTCCGAAACAAAGTGAAAGACGTCAAATACCTGCTCTGCAGAAAAACGGGACCTTGCCCTCTGGAGGCTCTGCTCTGCTTTGAATACCGCTGACTCTTCTGGCAGCCTGTCAGCAATCCAGATGGGAGGGGGTGGCGAGGCAGCGTTGGAGCGTTCTTAGAAATAAAAGTTAGCAGCTTACTGGAGGGGAAGTTTCATGGGGAGCTGCGTGGGGCAGCCTGCGACAGAGAGGAGCCTTGGCAGAGGGAAGGCTCTAACCTGCAAAAGGAGCTGATCAAATGATCAAACTCAAGCAGAGCTTATACTGGAGAACAAGAGGGAGAGAGAAAAGTAGAGTGAGTCTTCCTACATCTCCCCAGGGGTTGTATCTTGTCCTTTAGGAATAAGAAGTTTGGGAGAAGCACCTTGTCTCCGGTCAGATTTTTTTATGGCAATAAAATAATTGGAGAAGTTGCAGCTCCAGGGGTTTGTGCTCTTTTAATTGGATTCCCAGCATCACTGCTACTCTTCTCCCTTGCTGCGCTTAGTCCTTGGCATAAGAAGAGTGACACTTTTTGAAAGGATGTTGTAGAAATTAATGATGAGTGAGGTCATACAACCCTCCCACTGCTTCCTGGAAACTAAAACAGTGATGCGCCTCATTGCTCAACCAGGAGGGCCCATGATTAAAAAAATCATTAGTCAGAATCGAAGATGCTTTTCTATTGTGTTCTATGTAGGTATTCCCAATTTCATTGAAATGCCACGTACAGGTTGGCCACGTTCCAGTGACGTTAAAAATAAGTGCAGACACTCGGAATGCAGCTGCTTTCCACACCAGTGTTATTTATTGAAATTTATAGAAGGAACTGTCCCATCCAGACAAATATCTGTTGCTCAGGGGGAATCCTGAGGGAACAGCCATAGAAAGTTACAGCTTCAAGAATGGCCCTTGGTATGTGTTGCCTTGTATATAAAGTGTCATCATACAGAACTGCAAGTACTTGTGTTAAAAGACTTAAAAAAAAAAAAAAAAAGACCCACACAACCTTTAAAAATTTCTTTTCCTGATCTGTGGATGATTTGTTGCTTATTATCTGAGAATGCAACATTCCTTACAGGAAAACTTTAATCTTAACTAATGATGCATTAAAAGAAGTGTGTTGATAGAATGGCTGTTTCTGCAATTCACTGGCTTCTGAGAGTACCACAGTTTCACTACTGGCCTTCATCAGATGGTTGCACTGGTGCCACGGCATTGCCCCTCTTCCCTCCCTTTCTGTGAGTAGGTGGGAGCTTGGAAATTGGGTGGCAGGTAATGCAAAACCTGGCCGCGTGGCTCAGGCAAGGAGCTGAGGTTGCCTGGGCTTGCAGCGTACATTACCTTTTTGCCAGAATGAGGCTGAGAAGCATCTTAGATGCCAGCCGTGCAAGCCAAAACACAGCAGGTGAACTGCAGTCTCAGTTGTAACATCCTGGAGAAGGACCTCTGTTAATTAAAAAGGAAATGATAATCAGTATTAAGTCCCACGGTCCCACGTTTGCTTCTTATCCCAAAATACTAGGAATTTAACATACAAACGTGAGCCAATACTGTATCATTTCCACCGTGAAAACATTTGCTCATACATAGAAATAGTTCAGCTATTTATGTCTCATTTCGTACTGTGAGCGTCATCTTTGAATTTAACATTTCACAGTCAGAGGAAGCTTTCCTTTCCTGTTACACGCTTGTGAATGACTTAAATTTATGTACAAAGACTTTTCTTCTTTTCAGACACATCTGAATTCTGGCTTAGCATTTCCAGTCACATCCTGGGGTCCCCTTTCCCCCTTTCCTTCATCCACTTCGTCAGGGCATCGCCTGGGCTGCGGCGGGAGCAGACCCCCCTGCCCGTGGGCTGATGCTCGGTACAGGCACGACCTCTGCAGCCAGGACCCGCCGACGTTCTGGGCTGCAGATGGAGCCGGCCCCGTCTCCCAGCGGGAAGGTGCTAGTTCTGCCTGGCTGCAGCTTTTATGCAAATGTTCTGTTACTTCTGATGCCGGCGTTGCATGGTGCAACGTGAGCGTCCCGTATGCTGAGGCTGCCTAGTCCACCCGCGAGCACCGTGCATCGGAAGCAGCAAAAGTCCTGTTTCATGTTTTCTTGGGAGAGTAAGAGGCTGACAAAAGAAAGGGAAGATCCCTTGTTATGGGATAATCAAAACGCTGCATTTGCCTCTTCCGGAGAGCAGAGGCTATCACTTACATGGACAACTCATCTTTTATGAGAAGGGCAGGAGCTGCACTGACTGCTTGGAGGACCACGAGCCACACCTTTCTTTCCACCCGTGGGCTCTGTGTCAGCTCCTGGTCCAGGGCGAACCCTTGTCCCTTCTGCCTGGTCACTTCTCATGGGAGATCTCTGTGCCATTTTACATACAGCAAGACCCCTCTGGAGCTTCTTCCCTCAGTGAAACTTTCCCAGTCTTCTAGGTGGCATTGCTGAATGGCCTCCGTGCTTGACCTCCTGACAGATACGCCAAGGCGAGCACCAAAACCGCCCGTCGTCACCCTGAATTCACCGCCTCTGCGCCCTCCACAGAAAGGACACCTGGGACCGCAGCAGGCTGGGGACTTGCTACCGATCAGACTGAAGAAAAGCATTGTCTTCAAACTGGGGAATGTAACTGGAAAATTGGGAGCTTTAAAACTGCCTAAAGAGCACATTGCCTACTTAACTCCATCAGTGATGGTAATGGCGATATCCATCTCAGCCTGCCAGGTTTGTCTTGTCATACGGGCCATAAACAAGATGACAAATGAAAACACTTCAGTGATGTTTATCATCTAAATCGCTGCCTGCTTGTTTCCCTCGGATCTCTAGCAGCCCTCCGAGCTGCCAGGCAATCCGAAGCAACCATCAATTTGACTCGCAGGATAAAGATACAAGCTCTCAGCTTAGCCAAGAGTCCTGAATTTCCTGCAGTAAGATGACGGACCGTCAATAAACATCAGTAATCTTCTCGGTGGTGTGCAGCAAGATCAGGAATCTGCTTGCGTGCCATGCTTAGGAAGGGGAGATGGGCAGAATGCTTTATCAGAATCTGTGCCAAGCAAGGTTATTTCATCATCTTAGAAGAAAACTCGGCGTTTATGGGATGCCTCTGTTGTTTCCTTTGTGCCCTGTAAAGGCATTTGGTCTGGTAAAAAGTTCTTATGGCCCTTTGGTGAGAAAGAGCATGCTGGGGTAGGTTTAAATCTCCTGCTGGGGCTAATTCCTGGCAGTAAATCCGGACAAAATAGTAAATGCCTTCTGGACAAGGAAGTTGCAGAGTGGGAATACTGGAGTCCCGCTGAAGACGGCTGCGAATGGCTCGGAGCCGGAGCCCGCAGCCCTGATGCACTGCAGAGCGCTTTCCGACTCCGGGTTGCCTGTGGCTATAAAATACTTCTTGGCACCAGGGTCTCAGCTTGGCCCGGACGAGAGGATGAACCACTGCCCTGCAAGGCCAGGATGCTGCTTCTGCCTCTGCCAAAGGCAGAGCCCTGCCCGAGGGGATGAAAACAGACACAAGAACTGGAGTTCTTGTCTGGTTTCCTTGGGTGCTGCTCCTGGGGCTTTTTGTTTTTGTTTTTAATGTATGAATAAGAGTCTCCCTGGAAAACCTGTAGATTTGGGGTTGGTCAGTCTTTGCAGCATAAAAAGCAGAAGATAACTGGTGTACAGCCATCTGCTTTAAGCAAAAGGTTTCTGTGCTGTGGAGGTGGCACACAGGTACAAAGAAGTCCCTTCTAATTAAATGTACAAGAATTGTTCCTCAGAGATTTCCCCTGCCAAATCAGGGCTTTCCCTGCCAGCTCGTTCCTGAGTCCCAGTCTCTGGTTTGTTCTGACGCCTGTGTGCTCTGCGCTTAGCAGAGTCGGCGCGCTCGACGGCTTTTGGACATCTTATTCCCCCAGCTGGGAGAGACGGTGACACATACTTACCCTTCTCTGGAAATCGCTGTACCAGCAAAGTTCCCGAGTTCGCGCAGTCTGCCAGCCCGTCTGTAAGCAGGTGCCCATGTCAGGCGTTCTGGGGATAGAAAATCCCTTGTAATTCTCTTACAGCATGGATGGGACCTTTTTCTAAACTTCCCGTAGCAATCAGCTTATGCCCTCAAAAACGAGGAGCAAAAGCTCTCCTAAATTTATTTTAGCTAGTGTAATTGCAGAATGTTCCCCTCCTTATCTGCCTGTACAGCAAATTGGGTTTTACTCCTACCAAGCTGTTTAATTCAATGTCTTGCAGCGATGACTTTGCTATTCCTTGTTTAAAAACATCTCCCCCAGCCACATATTTCTATCAGAATGAGGAATCATGGTAATCCAGAGGCTCTCGGATCTTGCTGAGATGTCACCAGTTTAGTCTACTTCAGTCGTCATTTAATCCAGTGTTCTCATAAAGTGGTGGATAATTTATTAAGAGTCCTTTGGAAGTCCCCAGCAGCTTGGCAAAGTCCCTGGAAGCTGTATTCACCGGCACCTCAGCTTTTCTAAGCATTTAAGCTGGACAAGGGGTCAAAGGCGTATTTTGGACTCAAATCTGGGACCAGCTGATTGGATCCCGTTCGGAGGTTGTATGGATGTGTGTGTATGTAATTTTATGTTTCCTCTAATAACGATAGTTTCTGTAGCATGAAGTCATGAAAACTGGTGTTGTAATTTGCGCAGATGCGGAGAGTAATTTGCACACCTTGCCTGTGTTTTAT